AAATATTTTATTTTTAATTTATTTTCGATTTTATTACTAAAAAATAATAAAAAATTACTAAAAAACTCAAAAATTTCTAGAAAATTCCACAATTATAAGATGAGGCACTAGTAATATTAGTATATTTTTTTAATTATTTTTTTTATTTTTATTTATTTTATTATAATTTTTATGAGTAAATAAATAATTAAAAAGGCCCGACGAACGTGCAAAAACTCTTAGAGATACCGAGCAAGCATCGGAATAGCTCGAATGCAAATAACAAACGCAACAGGCAACTTCCGAGGGACATACTTTTCCCAACAAGCTTCCACTTGGGAAAGCACTAGCAACAGTGTTCGGCAAGTCAAAAGCCAACAAACGGCTATTACCCGAGGGACATGCATTTCGCAATGGCACAATACGTAAGTCAAAGCCAAACCAAATGGCAATTAACCGAGGGACAGGATTGCTTGCCATGCGGCGTTGGCATGCTGTTCTGCCCAAGGCCTAGGCACATGCTCAGCTGGCGGGCAGGCCGTGCATGGCATGCTGCTGCCTAGGCTTGGCATGGCATTGCTGGCTGGCTTTGCGGGCTGCCTTGGCTGGCATGGCATGGTGCTGGCCTTGGCCTTGGCCATGGCATTGCTGCTGGCTCTTGGCTGAGCCTGCCTGCCGCTGGCATCGCATGCCTCTGGCCTAGGCCTTGGCATGGCATGCGCTGGCTTTGGCGGGCTTGCCTTGGCCGTGGCACTGGCGATGCTGCGGCCTTGGCCTTGGCATGGCATGCTGTGCTGCCTTGCCTGTGCGTCTGCTGCTGCATGGCTGCCTGCTTCTTCCTCTGGGGCCGTGCATGGCATGCTTGCTGCCTTGCCTTGGCATGGCAGTGGCTGGCTTGGCTTGGTGCTTGCCGTGCAGCATGCTGCTGGCCTTGCTGCATGGCATGCTGCTGGCCTAGGCCTTGGCATGGCATGCTGCTGGCTTTGGTGGCTGCTTGGCCTATAGCTATGCTGCTGGCTGCTTGCGCAGGCTGGCTGCTGGGCCTTGGCCTTGGCATGCATCTGCTGCCAGGCTTGGCTGGCGGCTTGGCTGGCGCTGCCTGCGTGGCATGCGCATGCTGCTGGCCTTGCCGTGGCATGGCATTGCTGCGGGCTTTGCTGGCGCTGCCTTGGCCGTGGCATTGGCATGCCGCTGCCTGGCCTTGCATGGCATGCTGCTTGCTTTCTGGCTTTGGCCTGGCCTTGGCCGTGGGCATGGTCGCTCTGGCCTTGCCTTGATGGCATGCTGCTGCTTGGCCTGGGCTGCCTTGGCCGGGCATGGCATGCTGCTGCCTAGGCCTTGGCATGGCATGCTGCTGGCTTTGGCGCGTGCCTTGGCCGGGCATGGCATGCTGCTGGCCTTGGCCTGGCATGGCATGCTCTGCTGCGGCTCCTTGGCCTGATGGCTGCTCTGGCCGCTCTGGCATGGCATGCTGCTGGCCCTGCCTTGGCATGGCATGCTGCTGGCTCTTGGCTGGGCTGCCATTGGCCGTCTGCATGGATGTTGCTTGGCCTTGGCCTTTGGCATGGATGCTTGCTGGCTTGGGGCTGGGCTGGCCTTTGGCCTGGATGGCCATGCTGCTGTCAGACTTGGCATGGCATGGTGCTGGCTTTGGTCTGGGCAGCTGGCCGTGCATGGCATGCTGCTTTGGCCTTGGCCTTGTGTCACGGCCTTGGAATTTCTGAACCAACCCTCAGTCTTTCCAAGGCCACCGTGCGGCCTTTAGATGTTCTAGCACGCCTTGCTCGCGCCTAAGTAAGTCCTTTTGTGGAAGGGAGCTAGGGACTACCACACACAAGAGAGAAGACTTGGAGAATCAAGCTTATATTACTTGAATGATCTACAATGCTTGGGTTCTTACATAGGTTGGTTTGGCCAAATGAGGGCCTCCCCTTTATATATCCTTACATAGAATATTCTAGAGCTACTATGGTGGAGAGTGTTCTAGACACTTCCACCTATTATATCTAATAGACTATTCTAGAACTATATGGATGGAGGGGATTCTAGATCCTTCCCTCATCCTTACAAAGACCCTATTCTAGAACATACAAGACTTATGTAGAAGGTTCTAGAGTTATATACAATGCTTTATAATACTCTATATTATTCTAGAATTTTCTAGGCAATGCTCCTGTAGCCTTTATTCTAGAGAGTTCCAGAACTCTCTAGCATTCTTTGTGGTCTTCACCCTTTCTCAAGTCTTCCAGGAGCTTCCAAGCCATTTCACTAGCCTCTTTCTCTTGAGATTTCCTCTTGTTGGATACTTTGGCCTGGTCACGTTGGCGGGTCGTGACATTCTCCCCCACCTATGCTCGCGACGCCCTCGTCGCGTCTTCCTCTTCGAAGTCGCAGGTTCTTTCCTTGACTTGCGCCTTCTTGGTTTTCCTTTGTCCACCGTTGGCACCATGTAAGGACCCCCGTCCATAATGCACCAAGTGTTGTCGCGAGGCAACATCGCCATGTTGAACTCTCGCGGTAATTCGATCTCCAACACCACGCCATGGTCATTGACTTCTTCGCGCCACTCACCAAGGTGCAACTCAACCCCTTGAGCCAAGCCCTCCATGGACTTTACCTTGGTGTTTTCCACCTTCATCAATCCTTGACCCCCGTCAAGGTTTGGACCAACCCTCTTGGCCTCTTCCGCATTGATGAAGTTGGGCGATGCTCCCGTGTCAACCATGACTTGCGTTGCCTCCCCATCGACCTTGCCCTCTACGTACATCAAACCCTTATCCCCTTGGGTTGATGCAGTACGCTCCGCTTCAAGCAGCTGCAGAGATCCCATGCAAGACTGCTCTTCCCTTTCTTGCTCCTCCAGCTTTGCAATGAGACTCCTCCTCTTAGGACAATCCCTTGCCCAATGTAGCTCATCGCAAAGGAAGCAGTTATCCCTTGGCTTCATATCCTTAGTCCACTTTGCCCATTTGCCCAAATTAGCAGCAATCTCCCCTCCGCGGTGCTCCTCCGTGTGAGTTACTCCAGACATAGTGCCCTTCCGTCCTCAAGTCACGACGCCTTCGCAACCCGCTCTGATACCAACTGTCACGGCCTTGGAATTTCTGAACCAACCCTCAGTCTTTCCAAGCCAACCGTGCGGCCTTAGATGCTTCTAGCACGCCTTGCTCGCGCCTAAGTAAGCCTTTTGTGGAAGGGAGCTAGGGGACTACACACACACAAGAGAGAGACTTGGAGAATGCAAGCTTATATTACTTGAATGATCTACAATGCTTGGGTTTACATAGGTTGTTGGGTGGTTTGGCCAAATGAGGGCCTCCCCTTTATATAGGCTTACAATGATTATTCTAGAACCATACTTGTGGAGAGTGTTCTAAACACTTCCCACAACTACCTCTAATAGATTATTCTAGAACTACAAGGATGGAGGGGATTCTAGATCCTTCCCTCATCCTTACAAAGACCCTATTCTAGAACATACATACAATGCTTTATATTATTCTAGAGACTTCTAGGCAATTCTCCCACAGCCTTTATTCTAGAGAGTTCCAGAACCCTCTAGCATCCTTCCTGGTCTTCATCCTTTTTCAAGTTTTCCAGGAGCTTCCAAGCCATTCCACTAGTCTCTTCTTCTTGAGATTTCCTCTTGTTGGATAATTTGGCTTGGTCACGTTGGCAGGTCGTGACATTCTCCCCCACCTATGCTCGCGACGCCCTCGTCGCGTCACCTTCTTTGAAGTCGCAGGTTCTTTCCTTGACTTGCGCCTTCTTTGATTTGCCTTGTCCACCATTTGCACCATGTAAGGACCCCCGTCCATAATACTCCTTTTGTCGTCGCGAGGCAACATCGCCACGTTGAACTCTCGCGATAACTCCATTTTCGGCACCACGCCAAAGTCATCGACTTTTTTGCGCCACTCACCAAGTTCGGATAGCTCGAATGCAAATAACAAACGCAACAGGCAACTTCCGAGGGACATACTTTTCCCAACAAGCTTCCACTGGGGAAAGCACTAGCAACGTGTTCGCAAGTCAAAGGCAACCAAACCGGCTATTACCCGAGGGACAAGAATGCAAATTTCGAGGGACATACTTTTAGCAACACGCTTCCACTAGGAACGCATAGGCAACTCGTTCGAAAGTCAAAGCCAACCAAATGGCAATTACCCGAGGGACACGCTTTTCGCAAGGCACCTTCCACACAGAGCCGGTACGGTCAGACGCAGGCGCGGCCGTAGCCCGCAACGAGCGACGAACGCTTAGCGGGAAAACGGAGGTCGAAGACCCCGTGTACCCGCACAAGGCTCCGAATCCGAGAGCACGACCATACTGGCTTTGGCTGGGCCTCCTTGAGACTTCCCTTTTGTAGGTTATCCTGCCTTAGTGATTTGGCGGGGCGTGACATTCTCCCCCACCTATGCTCGCGACGCCCTCGTCGCGTCGGTCTTGATGATTCGGCGGGGTGTGACATTCTCCCCCACCTATGCTTGCGACGCCCTCGTCGCGTCTCCATCCTTGAAGTTGTAGTCTTTTTCCTTGACTTACTCCTTCTTGGTTTTGACTGTGCCACGTTGTACTTGGTACATGACATGCTACCACCGCTAGTCCCTGATGCCTTTGTCAGGGGGACATTACCCTGCCTACCGCCATGCTTGTCCGTTCCCCTACCCACGGGAAACCCGCCCCGCGCAGACACCACCCTTGGTGCGGACTCCACAATGACGGTGCTTGGCGTAAGTCCCACGTACCGTCCCAGCACCATGCCACAGTCTTTGACTTCTTCGCGCCACTCACCAAGGTGCAGCTCAACCCCTCGAGCCAGGCCCTCCACGGGCTTTGCCTTGGTGTTTTCCACCTTCATCAATCCTTGACCCCCGTCAAGGTTAAGACCAACCCTCTTGGCCTCTTCCGCATTGATGAAGTCGTGCGATGCTTCGGTGTCGACCATGACTTGGGTTGCCTCCCTATCGACCTTGCCCTCTACGTACATCAAACCCTTATCCCCTTGGGTTGATGCAGTAGGCTTCGCTTCAAGCAGCTGCAGAGATCCCATGCAAGACTGCTCCTTCCTTTCTTGCTCCTCCAACATTGCAATGAGACTCCTCCTCTTAGGACAATCCCTTGCCCAATGTAGCTCATCGCAAAGGAAGCAGTTATGCCTGGGCTTCATATCCTTAGCCCGCTTTGCCCATTTGCCCATATCAGCAGCACTCTCCATTCCGCGGTGCTCCTCTGTGTGAGTTACTCCCGACATAGTGCCCTTCCGTCCACAAGTCACGACGCCTTCGTAACCCGCTCTGATACCAACTGTCACGGCCTTGGAATTTCTGAACCAACCCTCAGTCTTTCCAAGCCAACCGTGCGGCCTTAGATGCTTGTAGCACGCGTTGCTTGCACCTAAGTAAGCCTTTTGTGGAAGGGAGCTAAGGGATTGCACACACAAGAGAGACTTAGAGAATATTAGCTTTGTATTACACTAGAGAGAAAGCTTACAACTTGGATCTACTTCTTAGTTCTTGGTTCTTACATAGGTTGGTTTGGCCAAATGAGGGCCTCCCCTTTATATAGCCTTACAAGGATCATTCTAGAACTACTATAGTGGAGAGTGTTCTAGACACTTCCACCTATTATATCTAATAGACTATTCTAGAACTATATGGATGAAGGGGATTCTAGATCCTTCCCTCATCCTCAAAAAGCCTATTCTAGAACATACATACAACCTTTATTCTAGA